TTGACCATTAGTTGACCAAGAAAATAAAAATTTGATATCTTTTGACTATATTTGAAAAGGTAAATGGTAAATTTATATTTTCTCAAATATCACCAATTAGAATCATTTAATTAAAAATAAAAAAGGTAATCTGCCCCCCAACCACTCCCCATGTCTCCCACTCCAAACCACTCCCAAAACTTCATCTTCTTCAACATTCTCACCCCTATTCCACCCTACCCATCCCATTTTTTTCACCAATCTAGCCGAAAATCAAAATATCATAAAAAGAACTAAGAATATAACATAATGAAGAAAAACACAGAGAGAATCAGACTCTCTTTTTCTGTATATTGAAAAATGAATATTGCTTGTACATTGATTCTATTTATAGAGTTAGCTATCATGTTGCCAACTACAATTCAACTAACTAACTACATTCTAACAGTTAACTGTTCAACAAATACCTGTAACTAATTATTCCAACTCAATTTTTCTAACTAACGTCAACCACACGCAGCTTCATTTCTAGCCCCAGCTTCAATTACAAACTTCGCTACAACAAATTGCTGATTTGTAACATCCCCCTTCAAGATGGATTTGTGAAAATCCATGATTCTCATCTTCTTATGCAGGAAAGAAAGCTGTTCTGCTCCCAAGGCTTTGGTTAGAATGTCTGCCAGTTGGTGTTTAGAAGAAACATTAACTGTTTTAATTAAACCTTCCTATAGCTTCTCTCACGTTATGACAATCTATATCTATGTTTTTTGTTCTATCATGGAAAATTGGATTGGAGTCTATGTGCAAGTCTGCATTATTATTTCAGTACATTAATGCAGGCTTCGAATGGTTTACACCAAGGTCTTTGAGTATTCCATATAGCCAAATCACTTCACAGAATGCAGTGGCTCAGCTTCTGCTGATGACCTTGATACTGTCACTTGCTTTTTAGACTTTCACGAAACTAGTGCTTTTCCTAGAAAAACATAGTATCCTGTCATAGATAGCCTGCTATCTATGCTCCCTGCCCAATCTAAATTGCAAAAAGCTTTTAATTGCACACATTTAGTAGGTCTCCCCACCAAACAGGTAAATTCAGTCAAAATCAATTATTAATTTTAACCGTTCAATTATAACCAATACTCGTTATCATTCACACATTTCATATATCTCACTACTAATTTCATTATAAACCATTTATTAAGTTACGAAACGAAGCCTACATTTTCTTCGGACTTGTCTCAGTTTGAACTTTAAACTTATTATTTTAGACTTGTCCATATTACTGAATAATTATTGGGGAAGGCAAAAAGGGCTACAAATTAAGTGAAATCACAAACAAAACGAACAAGATTCTAAGTACATAGAAAAGCATAGTATTAACAAATAAACACCGCAATATTTTTGTTTTTCAATTTTGAACCGATAAAACAAAAGATTTAGAATATCTAGTAGTGTTTATCACTTATGCTAGTCACAATATCAATCGTGACCTTGAATTGGAATTGGAATTGGAACTGTTAACTCTGAACTCTATTGAGTATTCCAAGTGCCACCATCTTGATTCTTGATATTATGGTCTGCAACCACCATGATTAGAAGTCCATGATGCTCCACATGCATAGCAGAATTCAAAGGTACATCTGTGGCATCACCAAAAGAAATGCAGCAATTAATAAGGCTTTGTTTGGAGTAAAGAACTCGACAAACAGAGCTGGTGAAAAAGGGTTCATGTAACTGATTCTTGGAACGTAGTTTACGCTTCATGGGATGGGTTTTGGTTGCGCAAATCGCATTCATGGCCTAAAGTGTATGACTAAGACCTAGAAGCAAAAACTAGACTTGGGCTCCCAAACCCTTTACGTAGAGTCCTCAACCTATTTAAATTTGTGAATATAGATTCCTTCGCAATGGAAACCGTAAAAAGGGATGTTAATATCGCACGTGACTTTCACGTCACCTAAAGCTGGACATTAAGTGGTTTGAATTTAACTTTACATGTTTAAATCTCATGAAAGTCGCATCTGATTTTAACATCCACTTTGACGGTTTTCATCACGTGCGAACTTGGATTCATAGATTTAAATCAATTGGGGTTGAGAACATCACTTTTGGAGGTTAAAGATCCAAAACCATACTAGTTAAATGATTAGGGAGTCCAACCTCAATTTCCCCACCTAGAAAAACCTACATTTGTCATCAACCTGAATGTTACACAACATAGGAGAATATGCTTCAAGATTTGAAGTACCAAACATCAATGCTATTAATCTATATTCAACACATAATAATTGATCCCCATGGAAAATCAGTTATAAACGAAGTTTTACCATGACTCTACGGAGACCTATGTTTTCCGTACACAGTGGTTCGACTCTAGTCATGAGGAGGCACCCCATCTTCTATTATGTCTTGATGCATCGTCATCATACTTTTAACATTTTGTTATTAAATAATGACTTCTAGACTGAAAAATAACGAGCATTCGTCAATTAATCGTAGATAGAAGTATCAAACATACTAACCTGCAACTGATATGCAAGCAGCCCTCAGTTTTTTCAACGTAGAATTTACACTTAGGACATCTCTGCCAGTTTTGCTGCTTAGCAAGCTCATAGACCATCAAATCTTCCCTCCCTCTTTCATTCTCATTCATCCTCTGGTACTCTTCACATTCAACTCCTGAATGCCACGACACATTGCACTGTGCACAGAACAATCTCCAGCAAAAAGGACACTCTGACTCCCTTACAACCTCATTGCTATCATTAACCAGCATAGCTGAACAATCTTTATACGGACAGTAAATTTTTTGCGAAGGAGGAAAGAGTGACTCACATAGGACATCCTCCCATGTTGTAATAACATCCTTAGACAGGATCTCCCTACCAGCATCAATGTCAAGACTGGCTCTACAGTCCAATTCCGGGCACGTTACGACCGCGGTTTCTTGGATTGTTATTGCTACATGTTCGCAAATGCAATCGGCACAAAACTGATGATTGCAGCTCGGAATTGTAAACATCTCATCAGTTTCTTTGCTTCCTATACATATTTTGCAGAACCGTCTCGATGATTCCCCAACAACTGTTTCGGAAATCGGATCATTTTTTGGGTTCTGAGAACTGATTAATGAGGCCATGATGGATTCTTGGAGCTGCAATTCTTCAGCGTATAAAGAATCTGAAACAGGAAGAATCATTTCTTCATCTTCGCCTTCTATGTTGAATAGCAAAGAGAAGTAAAAATCATCGCAGGAAAGATCAAATGATTCATTAATATAATCAGACAATGGTTCCTTTGATTCTTTTGCCATTTTGCAGAATCCTTGCAACTATAGAAATGAGAATTATGATGTAAATGAAGGGAATCCTTTCGTTTTGGCTACTTTTTTTCTATCTTTTTCGATTTCAAGTAGATCGAGGACTGTACTAGTTTCTTAACTCAGAAGGAGTCTTTCTTATTGGAGTCTTCGGTCTTTTTGACTTCATCCACTTTAATAAAGAAAAACAAATTAATTTTAATAAATTTCATGATGAAGAAAACATTCAATTGATGACTCAGATTTCCAACAAAATTTACTGTTCACAGATTCGACATTTTTACAAAAGTTAAATGGCATTTTTTTCTCGAAAGTAATGCAAGAATGGGAAAAGTTTACTCCTTTTCTTGTTATAAATATAAATATAATCTCAATTTAAATATAATCTCAATTTAAATGTCCAAATTTGTCCCTTAGAAAAATAATTTATTTTCTCTTAACACAATATTTTGATTGTTCTGAATTTTCAAGTTTTAGCACTTGTTTGATCCACATTATTTATTTTCATTCTTATTCTTCTATTCATTTCCAACCACACATTTTTTCAATAAAATAATATTTTTCATCACATCAATAACTTTTTCTTTTTTTTCAACCACATATTCCCCAACACATCACTTCAAAAAAATGCATTCTTTCATTTTAGTTATGACTTATATTCGATTATACTTCTATGGTTCAGTATGTATATGTTTGATATCCAATATATATAGATGCTTAAATTTCAGCTTCTCCCCTTCCTTAATATTGTCAAAATTTGCTAGACAAAATTTATTATTTTCCCAAATATTCTTCAACACAATCAAGAGGATGGCGTGTCTATTTTACTTGAAAGAAACACACTTGCCTTGCAAGCATTCCCAACACCCAACCAAACAAATTTCCAAATTCCCCCAAGGTTTTGCAGTGGAAAATTTTTAAAAATAAAAAATTGTTGGAACGGAGTTGAGCAGGTTGAGAGAGCCCAAGTCAATCCGCAGTCCAACCATTTAACAAGCAAAAAACCCATTAACGTTACTAGTGTATCGGGTCTACCATGGATTGTGCCGGCTTGGATAGTCAGACTTGCGATTTGCACCAGTTCGGTGGTAAAAATAATTATTTAGAAGTTAAAAATTAAAAAGGAATTCAAACTATAGAGTCTTTCGGAAAACGAACTGTGGTGGAACTCGCACTTTTATGCTCAAAACAATAGAATAATACTATTTATCTTTTCGTATGATGTGAATTAAATGTACGGTTATGAGATTCACTTTATTGACCTTTATCTTGTGTGAAAATGTTTTCAACAATATGATTTCTATCTTCTTTTGGATAATGCAAATCAGTCATGCACACTGATAGTATAATTGATATCTTCTTCCATGAGTAGTTGATCTTCTTATTTGTACTGTGTACATATTCTAACTTAATCTATGCATCACCAAAGGGATAAGACACCCTGTTCTTGAAACAGCACTTATACCCGATTATTGCTTTTTTCAAAAAAATAATCACATGTAGGAAATGTTGGGAATTGGTTTATAAAACGTTGGTTTTGTATTAATTTTGATCAAGTATTCCGATAAGTTTAGATAGTCAGTTCACACGTATAAATAGACTTACTTTTTCTACTCATTGAATAGATAATCGTGATATATTTGGATTTACAAAATCAATTTGGATGAATAAGAAATTGAAGTCCAAAGTTAGGTTGTAAAAATGGAAAATTGGCCATATCACTTGATAGCTTGAATGACCGCCTCGCGCACAGCAAGCAGCCAAGTCTTTGAAAAAGACTTCGAGTGGTGGATCACGCAGTCAATGAGCGATCTGAAGAGCTATGTCTCTTCGTGAACCACAACCCATCAACCTCTATAAATTAAGCTCCCTTGGTGGTCTAAATTCATTCTAATTCATATGCTTTGATTACATTGCATCAACACACTCCACCAAAAGTATAGGAGTTCATTGATTCCTTGAAATTTAAAGCACTTCTACTGCGAGGAGAAGCCGTTATATCTTGGAAAACGATTGTCAAGACTCCGTAAGCACATTGACATAACAAATTCGTCTTAAAGACATAGTGTTAAACTCTAGCCTCAGTTTAAAATTCAATTGTTCTTTTCATCATTTTCTGCATTCAGATTGTACTTCCAAGTAAGGTTTCTTTTGTTTTACTTTAGTTAAACTATTCAAAATATAATTTGCAATTCACACACATTTACACCAAGAAGTTTAAGATGAATTTCTATTACTTTGCTTGTTATATTTTGAATATCTTCATCTTTTGGAATAGCAGAAATGTTGTTTTTCTATTCTTCAACGACTAATTCTACTCAAACCACAAATGGTACAACAAGCGTGGTTCCTCCGATGGTTATACTGCTTCAAACTACTCATGTACCGTATGGTGAAGAATTGGAGAACTTCTGTGGGGTGGATTTTAAGATATAGCAATAAAAGATGTTCCATCTCACCACTTTAAACTTTGTAAGGTTCCTCTCCAAAGATCCTTTTCCCGTGAATAATCGAGAGTCAATTATTGCCTTGGATGCATGGAAGCACTCAGACTTTTTGTGGTTTGGACAACAAACTATATAAAGTGCATAGTGCTATGGAAGTCTGTAAATGAACTTTGGGAATCTTTAGAAAAAAAGTACAAAATGGAAGATGCTGGCACGAAGAAATTCATCGTCGAAAAGTTCTTCGACTACAAGATGATAGACTCCAAATTGTCATCAATTAAGTCCAAGACCTACAAGTTCTTTTACATGAGATACATGTCGAGAATAAGAAGCTGAATGAGTCACTCCAAGTTACTGCTATCACGAGAAACTCTCTCCTTTATGTAGAGATTTGAAAAACTATCTCAAGCACAGAAGCAAAGAGATAAAATTGGAAGAACTTATTGTCTGACTAAGGATAAAAGAAGATAACAAAAAGACTGAAAGGAAATCTAGTGTTCAGTTTGGACAAACAAAGGCCAATATAGTGGGAACCATTTCAAGGATCAACAAGAAGAGAAAGCTCTCAGGTGATGCACCAAAGAGTGAAAATAAAAAGAGCGCTAAGATGTTCAAAGACAACTGCTACAACTATGGGAAAGTAGGACATCGTGCAAGTGAATGTCATTAGCCTAAGAAGAATGCACAAGTAAATGTGATTGAAAGAGACACATTATTTGAAGAGATACAAGAGATAAACTTATCTGTAGCTGTTTCTGAATGTAACAACGTTGGAAATCTAAGAGAACGATAGGTTGATACGGTGCTATCCGCCACATTTGGTGCATGAGAAAAGGTTATCAACCTTCTTATAAATACTTGAAAATGTAAGGGTATTTGGCTACGATTGAAATACTAAGGCCAAAGCAAGTTAAAATTGGGCTTAAGATAATTGATTGCAAATTTATTTAATATGTCAATAATAATAGTACATATCGATTTCTTATTCATAAATCTATTATACAAGACATAAATGAAGGTACTATCATTAGATCGAGAAATGCTTCCTTTTTTGAAAATGTCTTTCCATGCAAAGATAAATAAGAATTAAGTTCGAACAAACGAAATTATAAAATTGAAAACAATACTCCTCCAAGTGATGAAAAGCAATGCGTAGTAAAAAGGCTAGAACGTCTACATCTTACGGTCTTGATTTTCTAATTTATATGGTACAAAATGATCTTAAGACATTTAATGAAGAAATTTCTACTTCAGAAGCATTGCATTGGAAAGAAGTTATCAACGGTGAGATAGATTCCATAATGCAAAACCATATATGGGAATTGGTTG